CCTTAAGTAGGGCCCAGAGGCCACGGGCAGAGGCTAAAGGGCTGAGGGGAGAGGCTATTCCTTTCTCTCTCTCTCTCTCTCTCTCTCTCTCTCTCTCTAATGGTCCGTGCATTGATATAGCATATGAGGTACACAAATGCAAGGTCTATCAAATACGCAACAAGGAGAGACTAACCTAAGAACAATCAAACAAACTAACAAGGAACCTGCGGCATGTCCCCTTAAACTTCCACCAGGGGTTCTCTCTCTCTCACTCTCCTCCTTTCTCTGCGCTCTCTCCATCTCTATTGTGCCCTTTTTCATGCATTCCCTTTTTCATCCCAACCCCTCTCAGAAACGTGCTCCATCAAGACTTGCCCATCAAACTCTTCTTGTAGGGAGACCTCTAGTGGCGCGGCAAATTGTTCCTGCAACTTTGGATACCAGTTGACTGACTCAGGCTATTGCATTGGTGCGTTCATTGGCGCTGAGATATTCAATGAAGCTGAGAGATATTTGCCTCACTTTCACCCTCTGGCTCTGAGAGAGGGTGGCTATGCGTGTCCCTCTCTCTCTCTCCCTCTCTCTCTCTCTCTCTCACTCACTCTCACCCTCACTCTCACTCTCTCTCTCACTCACTCTCTCTAACTACATTCTCCAGTGACAATGCTCCCTGGCCTCCCCCCATCTCTCTCGTTCACTCTCTCCACCTCTCTCTCTCCACCTCTCTCTCTTTTTCTCTCCCTCTCCCTCTCTCCCTTTCACTCTCTGTCATCCTCTCTTGTTCTCCCTCTCTCCCCGTCTCTCGCTTTCCTTCTCTCTCTCCCTCTCCCGTTTTCCCCTCTTTCTACCTCTCTCGCTTTCCCTCTCTCCCCCCACCTATAGCTTTCCCTCTCCCTCCCCCTTCCGCTCTCTCTCCCCCTCTCGCTTTCCACCTCCTTGTCTCTCCCTCTCTCGCTTTTCCTCTCTCCCCCCCATTGTTTGTTTCTTTTGTATGTGGCATTGTTCTACCTTCTCCAACTCTCTTCTGATCCTCAATTCCTCTGACTGATTATTAGTTTTGCTTCAGTCTCCCTCAGTGGTGTTTTTAATCTTCTGTAATCCCCACAACCCTTCACGCAAATACATGCATAGCCAAATACTGTGGTCCAAATACTACTTGCAACAAGGACTCTCAAGGCATTGCATATTGTGTTTCCAAGCCGGGCTTTGTGATGGTAGCATCTGGCACTTGCGTTCGTACGCCTCATTGGTCTCGTTGGTTCTCTTTGTGTTCCGTTGGTTTCGTATCAGCTCGTTTTCCTTTTCTTTATTTGTTCTTCTTCTTCTTCTTTTCAGCGGGGAGAGCGAGAGAAAATTGTAGGCCTAGTGCCTGGCCTTCGGCAAGGGAAATTAAGATTGACCTTTTTCATCCCACCCTCCTTTCAGAAACATGCTCCATCAAGACTTGTCTGGCAAATTCCTCTTGTAGGGAGACCTCTAGTGGCGTGGGAGTATGTTACTGCAACCCTGGATACCAGATGCACCCAGCAGGCTATTGCATTGGTGCGCCCATTGGCGGTGAGATATTCAATGAAGCTCAGAGACGCCTTCTTTGCTGCTGATGCTGCTGCAACCTACGGCTCTCCAGTGTTCTCTTTCACCCCCCGTGATTGCACTTCTCAACAGCTCACCATCCACGTCTTCTTTAACATCCGTTGGAATGTCTTGTATTGTGGTACATCCGGATTTCGTCTTTGTCCCATCTCTCTAGGTGAAGGCACGTGTTCGGACTGCGTGTGCAACAACTTTGTTCCGTACACCAATGCTCCTTACTGCGTCTGCCCTGGACTCAGCTTGACCACTCGTGGCTGTGTCCCAGGTTTGATCACCGATCCCGTCATGAATGCTTGTCCTAGGCACACCTGTCATGCTTTTATCTGGTTCTTCGTTTGGCTCTCTGGCTTCGACTTGAGCAGAGGCGAGTTGATTCTAGCGAGTCAGTACTCGCTCGCCTCACTGCTCATGACGGGCCTGCCTTTTTGCTCCTTGTCTCATCTTTCTTGCTCCCTTCCTTTGTTCAAAATTTTGTTGCATTCATAGGATTTTCCACCCACTTTCGTTTCGACGTTCACCTCTTCCCCTGTCTTATTCTCGCCCTCTTGATTTGTGTTTCAGGCACCACCAGCAACGCGACTTACACTAGCTACGCTTTCTACAACCAGACCAATTATGCGTCCCAACCCTACATCATGCGCCTGAATCCGGACTCTTGCACCACCCTCCCTTCTGAAGTTTTCAACACCGTCCGGTCGCATTGGCAGGTGGAAATGGCTCCTGGAGGGGCCAGAGCTTGCAGAAACATTTGGGGTCATGTCGCGCCTAGCTGCGGAGGAGCATACACGTTCTTGTACTCCTCGCCTTCCTCCGGCTTCCCCAGTGCCACTGGCTTTCCGTGAGTCCCACACTCCTTGCCTTGCACTTGTCAACTGCATCGTGGGCTATTTCAGCAGTGTTTCATCTCCCCCACTCTCTCTCTCTCTCCGTGTCTCTCCCCACCCACGCTCCCTCTCTCTCCCTCCCCCTCACCCCTACCCCCCCCCTCCCCCCACACTCCCCACCCCCTTCCCCATCCCTTTCCCGTTCATCATCACATGTGGGCAAACATAGTGCAATGCATATTTCTCCTCTCTCCTTTGGCTTTGACCAGCGCTAGTCCCTCTCTCTGTCTCTGTTGCTTGTCTTTCTGGTTTTACAACTTCCGGCCCAGACGCAAAGCCGTAAATCATGACAGTCGCCCCTGCATGCCTACTCCCACTTTTGTTTCTCGCTCCCCTCACCAGCACAATTACTGCAGGGCAGTGGCCTTACCAGTCTTACTATTGTCAGACCTAGACTTGTGTCGAAATCTAATGGTTCAGCTTGTGATGGGAGAAGTTGAAGACGGTGGTGGTTGATATCCAAGCCAGCTGGGAGCTGGAGTTGCAGATGGGGTACACGTGGGCTGCGTTAGCATTTTCCCATTGAGTATGTCATCTGCAGAGACCTGAAAGATTGTTTAGCTGAATAGGCAGACGAGCTGAAAGTTCTCCCTCCCTCCCTCCCTCCCTCTCTCTCTCTCTCTCCCCTCGGTCCGTCCCTTCCTACCCACCTCCTTTCTTTTTGTCGTCATAATAGGGTTGAGTGTTGCTGAACAATGTAACTTGAACTATGATAATTATTCGTGATATATTGTTGGGGTGCATTCGTGTTCTCAATTACCGTATCAAGCGTTCCTATCCCAATTTGAGCCGTCAGGCCCTCAGGTATCAGCGTAAAGCACGCTGATTTTGTAGCTCAGATTTTCGTTTTCCCTGAAAATTCAGCATACCGTCAGCCCCCAGATATAAGCGCCACCCTAGAATAAGCGCCAGGCGCCTTTTTTTTTTTTTTTTTTTTTTTTTTTATCATTGATAGTATATACCGATAAAGTACAAACCATCAAACGGTCGTAACCGTGCGTGAGGGACAGCAGCTTAACTACTGTTCCAGGTGAGCTGCCTAGGGCGAGTTGTCACATGCCCTAACCACTGTACCAGGTGGAAATTGCCTAGGGCGAGCTGTCGCATGCCCTCCGCGTGGACCACAAAGCAGCTAAAGCAGGCTTCCATGTCCAGCTCCTGCCATCCATCTTGATTCTGCTCAGCATTTTCTGCTCCTCCGCGAAATTTTCTTTGGACCGCTTCTTTCGTGCTGCCCCCATTTTCTGCATGTATATCTTCGCGTGTAGTCTAAAGGCAGCCTCCGCCTTCCACAGTACACGCTTGGCCCGGAATTTTTGCCCCCGGAAGACCGCATCACACCTCTCCCGCCAAATTTGATGTAGGACCACCGATGTGAGAGTCAGCTCTGGGAAAGCTGACCTGGTGCCCGTTTTACGGAACAGCATGTCCCCCAGCGAGGCAACTGGGCGGCCGGGATTCAGCATGCGTAAAGCGCGCCGAAGGGCCGAGGCCACCACTTGTATCCTGGGGCACAGAGTGAGGCAGTGTTCCAACGTCTCTTGCTCCCCGCAGTATGGGCATGTCGGCCTGCTGCTGAGAAAGGCCAGCCTCTCCCCTACCTGCAGATTTAAACCGTGGATGCGGACGAGGATATCTCTTGGACGGCTGGGAACAGCTAGAGAGTCCCGAGTCAACACCACCCGCTTCCAATCGATATGGCCTCCCCACCGCACACCCCACTTCTGCTGCTTGTACGATTGGCTGAATGCCCCTTTCCATCCCTCCTTCATCCGCTTCATGGAGACCACCCTCCCCCCTTCCAGAATCGGAACACGCAAAGGAGAGTCAGCCGAGCGTGGAGGTGCAGTAGGAAAGCCCAGAAGCTTTTGCCAGTGGGACGGTATTGCTAGCAACGCCTTCAACGCCAGCTTAGCCGACCCGTTACCACCCAGCTCCTGTTTCAACACCGCCATGGATTTCACCACCGCAACCCCGTCGTCCTCACCGTCCAACAGGTCGCCGATACGAGTGTGTTTCAGATTCTGTGCCTCTTTCTGCCCCCCGACTGGATTAGTACCGTTCAGTAAGATATCCTTGTTGGAAACAAGCCTCTCCTGCAAAACCTCCTCTCTGCTCCCCACCAGGTTCCTGACTGAGAAAGGCGACCGCATGAAACTCTCCGCCGTCTGCTTCCACCGTAAACTGCCGCTGCCCCAATGTTTCAGCAATCTGTCGTGCGCGGTGAAAGAGTCATCTCCCAGCGGGAGCTTCGCCGCCTTCACCATAAGGTCTTTTTTGAGCGGGTTCTGTTCTGTGATGAATAGGCCGACTCTCCTCGCGGCCAAGCAGGTGATGAGTGTCTCCGGGTCTCTGACCCCAATCCCTCCGTCCAGCCTCGGAGCGTAAAGCAGCTCTCTGCTCCAGAGGATAAAACCCTTCGCAGTTGCCACCCTGTTCCCCGACGTGAAGCTGTGCAGTAGACGCATGATTTCCAGCCAGATGGTGGCCGGCGGCGGGTAAATCTGCGCTTGAAATGCCAAGATCGGTGTGATATAGAAATTAACAACTGTCGCCCTTGCAGTGATTGTCAGGTATTTGAGCTGCCACTTGGTTAACTTCTCTGCTATCCGGCTCCACGTCTTCTCCCAAGTCGGCAGGCCATTCCCCAGACGGCGTCACCCACACACCCAGAAGTCGCTCTGCCTCGTCCGCCTTGGCCCATTTGAAACCACCGGCCCCATCATCAGTCGCCCCAATATTCGTGCCCAGAGGTAAAACCACCGATTTCGATTTGTTCGTTGCCAGTCCCGACGCCTTTTCGAAACGACTTAATATTTCCTCTGCCTGACCAATCTGCTCCCTTCCTTGCAGTACAAGAGTTGTATCGTCCGCGTATCCGAGGTACCCGAGCCGGTGCCCTTCCTTCTTCAGTCCGAGCTCCCGCCTCTCCACCTCCTGAGCCAACGGCTCCACCGCACATAGAAACAGGTACGGCGCCAGGGGACATCCCTGCCGAACTCTTGAAACCACGTCAACACCTTCCCCGAGCCAACCATTAATCAGCAATTTTGTTGTCGTTCCCTCGTGCAGGCCCTTCACCCAACTAACAAGCCGCTCCGGGAAACCCATCCTCTCCAACACATCGAAGAGAAACTCCCTCGAGACCGAGTCGAATGCTTTCTCGAAATCCACCAGAAGCAGACACCAGTCCTCGATCCCGTTTTTCGCGCCTTCAATGATGTCTGCCACCAGCGCAACCGCATCCGACAGGCGGCGACCGGGAATGAAGCCGTACTGCTCCGGGGAAATGACCATGTGCAGCACCGATTTCATCCGATCCGCCACCACCCGAGCCAAGACTTTGTAAGTGAAGTTCAGTAGCGTGATTGGGCGATAGTTATCAAGCTGCTCCTTATCACCCTTCTTGTGCAGCAGAATCGTCACAGCCTCCTTAAGCTCTGCTGGCAAAGAAGCACTGTTCTGAAAGCTCTTCGCCATGGTCATGAAACTTTCCCCCAGCAGGTCCCAGTGCGTCTCAAACAGCTCCTTCGGCAGGCCATCACTACCAGGGGACTTGTTCCTCGCCATCGCCGCAAACGCTTTTTTAACCTCCTGTTCCGTCCAGTCTGCTACTAATACTTCGGCCACACTCCCATCCAGGCGGCGAGCCGGGTTAAAGCTCCACTCCGCACCCTCGGCCCGACGGTCCTTCCCGAAGATATTTTTGAAGTACCGCGACGCCGCCGCCAGAATGTCCTTGGAACCAGTGATCAGCTCCGCACCTTCCGCGCCTGCACCTTTGCCGAGAGATGCTTCAAGGCAATCTCTCCCGTCATCTCCGCCGTGGAGCCCGCTTGCAGGTGCAACCGCTCCTTCTTAGACGCCTGGTACGTTTTCAGCTGCCCCTCCTTCACCTTCAGCAATGTCAGAAATAACTGAGCAGGAATGAATGAACTAGAACAGAGTTTGGTACAAGTAGGAAACCCTAACTTTGTGTACCCCCTAAGGTGTAACCCACTACAGCCTAGACAATATAAACATGCAATGTTTGACACACCCCCATAGGCGCAGTGGGAGACAACCACAGGGTCACAAGACCAGTCAAAGCAAAGCAAAGCAAGCTCAGGGTGGATCTCAAGGATTCCACACAAATTCCGAGCACAAGCAAGCGGTCACAAGACCAGTTCACATGCAGGTTTATAACAAAGCAAGAGATACAGTGATCACAACCTAGCAAAAGTAAACAAGTAGGCATACATATATATAGTGATCACAGTACAAGCAAGGTCAAGAGGTAAGCAAGTGAGGCCCAGTAGGTACAAGGCCTAGCAGAGTGCAAAAGCGCTGATGGTCACAAGGCTGAAGCGCCTTGGTGAACACATCAGCAGTGTTGGCCTCCGTGGCCACGTAACGCAGACAAAGCTGACCACGCTGCTGCAGCTCTTGAGCAAGGAAGTACCGCAGAGCGATGTGCTTCGTTCTGTGCTCCAGTCTGTGCTCCTCACACAAGGCAATGGCAGCCTTGTTGTCGACGTACAGCACTGGAGGAGAACGAGGCCGCTCTCCGAGGTCGGTCAGCAGGTAGGTCAGCCAGCGTAGCTCCTGAGCAGCCATGGCTGTGGCGTAGATCTCAGCCTCACAACTGGAGCTGAGAACAGAAGAAGAGCGAGTAGAACGCCAAGAAACTGAGCCAGAGCCAAGGCTGAAGGTGTAACCCTGGGACGACCGCTGAGTAGCCTGGTCGTCTGCCCAAGAAGCGTCTGAGTGCCCTGTGAGAACAACCCGGTCTCGCCCTCCAAGCACAAGCCCCATGCCCGACGTACTGCACAGGTAGCGCAACACCCTCTTAGCAGCATCCATGTGCTCCTTCCGGTGACGGCCAGGAGCGACATAGCGTGCTAGGATGCTAAGAGGGTATGCAAGGTCAGGTCGAGTGCAGGTCATCAGGTACATGAGGCAGCCCACAAGCTCTGGATACGGGCCACTCGGCTCTACGGACTCATCCGAAGGCAGAGCTGAGAGCGAGTGACCGGTAGGCAGAGGAGTGGACTGAGGCGAGGAGTACGTGAAGCGGAAGCGCTGGAGAACCTGCTGCACCATGTGTGACTGAGTCAGGGTGATGGTGCGCCGTGCTCTGTCCCGGGTGATCCGCAAGCCAAGATAGCTCGTCAGCTCACCCAGGTCTGTGCACGTGTGTCTCCTCTGCAGCTCCGACTTCACGTGAGCGAGTGCCGCGGTGTCAGCAGTGGCAAAGACTAAGTCGTCGACGTACACGAGGATGTAGAACGGCGACAGCGAGGTGTCGGTGCGTAGAAACAGCGACGGGTCAGCAGTAGAGGGAGCGAACCCAAGAGCCGCAAGTGTCGTCCTCAGTGTGTCGTGCCACTCACGTGGCGCCTGGCGGAGACCGTAGACCGGCCGCTGAAGCCTCCACTGGGTGCCAGGAGGAACTGACCCAGTGAAGCCAGGGGGGCGGCGCAGCCAGATCTCCTCGTGCAGGCTGCCCTGCAAGAAAGCAGTGCTGAAGTCAAGAGAGTGAAGCTCGTAGTCGCGGTGAGCGGCTATGTGCAGCAGCACCCGAAGAGTAGTCATCTTCGGGGTGGGGGAGAAGGTCTGAAAGAAGTCTACTCCCTCTCGCTGACTGAAGCCTCGAGCCACGTAGCGCGCCTTGAAGACAGGCGGAGAACCCGGCGGCCGCTTCACCCTGAAAATCCACATGCCACTGACGATGTTCGCCCCAGGAGGGGGAACCTCGTCTACGTAGGTGCCTGTGGACTTCCAGGAGGCCATCTCTGCGTCCATGGCTGTCTGCCACTGAGAGGAGTAGGGACCCGCCATCGCCTCAGCGTAAGAGCGTGGGGTCGGGATGTCTGGTGCATCCGGGTCTCCCTCAGGGGCAACTAGCAAGGACACGAGACGGGGCAAAGCAGCAGCAAGGCAGTGGAACTCCTCCTGTCTGTCCTCAAGGACGTCCGTGCCGAGGGCACACTCACCCCCGACGGACGGAGGACAGGCAGACGCAGACTCAGACCTAGCGACAAGGCTGGCAGCGTAGTCTAGGCGACAGCGAGCAGCAAAGTCAACCAACTCAGCGACCAGAGCAGACGCAGCAGAGGACTCAAAGGTCGGGTCAGTGACAACTGTAGCGAGGAGACGCGTAACAGTGGGACTGGCAGCACGACGGGAGTCAGACTCCGGGTCAGGAAGAGTAGGAAGAGAGGACGCAGGAGGAGACGGCAGCGGGACGCGCTGCGGAGCAGTGGAGGGACGTAGAGTCATGTAGTGAGTGCCAGGGACAGGAGGAGGACGCTCACGTGGGACACGACGACCAGTGCGAGCAGTACGAACAGGCGACGCAGGACGAGACTCAGGCTCACGTCGCTCTGTAAGACCTCCTGTGGGACCAGCGTAAGGAGAGGGAGCAGGGAGAGGCGAGACAGGCGGTAACTGTGACTGCGGCTGGACAGGCAGAGGACACTCGACGGAGGGAGGAGGACTAGGAGGAGGAGCCTGACCAAGAACCTGCTGAAGGAGCGGTTTTAAGTACGGTCGCGGCCGCGCAGCGTCTCCAGAAGCAGCAGGGACACCAGTGGCAGCCCCAACGCCCGAGTCCTCAGCACCAGCAGCAGCTCCAACGCCCGGGTCCTCAGCACCAGTAGGAGCTCCAACGCCCGAGTCCTCAGCACCAGCAGCAGCACCACCGGTCGGGTCCTCAGCACGAGCAGCAGCTCCAACGCCCGGGTCCTCAGCACCAGCAGCAGGGGCACTGGTCAGGTCCTCAGCACCAGCAGCAGCGCCACCGGTCGGGTCCTCAGCACCAGCAGCAGCTCCAACGCCCGGGTCCTCAGCACCAGCAGCAGCTCCAGTATCCGGGTCCTCAGCACCAGCAACAGCACCACCAGGCTCCGCACCTCCAGGCTCCGCACCTCCAGGCTCAGCACCCCCAGGCTCCGCACCTCCAGGCTCAGTACCTCCAGGCTCCGCACCTCCAGGCTCAGCACCCCCAGGCTCCGCACCTCCAGGCTCAGCACCCCCAGGCTCCGCACCCTCAGACGCAGCACTCCCAGGCTCAGCACCCCCAGACGCAGGACGCGAGTCAACAGCTACCTCGACAGGCTCACCCGGGTCTACCTGGGACACACCTGAGGGAGCGGCACCCTGAGGGGGGAGGGGGTCTGGTACCTCAGCACCTGGAGCGAGGAAGAGAGGCGGGGGGGGGAGCGGGGCAGTGCGGTAGGGGAAGAGGCGGTAGAAGGGGACGGACTCGTCAAAAGTGACGTCCTGAGAGGCCAGAACCCGGCGCGAGGTGACGTGGTAAAACTGCCATCCAGGCGCGTCGGGAACAAAGCCAAGAAAGACACAGGGAACAGCGCGACGCGAGAGCTTGTCCGCGGACGTGTCGCGGACAAAAGCTCGAGATCCCTAGACCCGGAAACGCGACGCATCGCCAACCTCTCCCGTCCACCGTAGAGTCGGGGAAGTCTCCGGCAAGGAGACACGGGGCCAGAGGTTGAGCTGATGCGCTGCGTACCGGACCGCAAACGGCCACAGAAAGTGGGGAGCAGCCGCATGGGTCAGGGAGGTACGAGCGACCTCCATGACTAAGCCAATGCGGCGCTCAGCAACTCCATTCTGCTGTGGAGAGGCCGGAAGCGTGTACGACTGCTCAATGCCGTGCTCAGCACAGTAGGCTGCCAAGAGGTCGGAGGCGAACTCACCACCCCTGTCAGAGTGCAAGCGCAGGACAGGAAAGTCCGAGTGAAAGCGCTCGCCTAGCTGGAGACGGGCTCGGCTGATCCAGGGGATCAAAACACCAGGGACGTCACCCTTGGCGCGCAAGGGGAAGACCGTGGTGTAGCGCGAGTAGTCGTCAACAACTATCAGGAAGTACCTCTCCTGACCCTGACCACGGACGCGGGCTGGGCCCCACACGTCCATGTGGAGCGTCTGCAGGGGAGCGGTCGTCGGGGGAAAGGAGGAGGAGTGAGGAGCGGCGCGCTGCCGCCCCTCGACACAGGGAATGCAGTCAGGAGCAGGGGAGTCAGGAAGGGGAGGGAGCACCCTGGGAAGACCAGCAACAAGGTCCCGTTTGTGCATGGCCCGCAGGCGCTGCACAGACGGGTGACCAAGGCGGTGGTGCCAGAGGACGGTGTCGTTCGCCAGAGAGCGACACGAGCAGGGGGCGGACAGCTGACCTGACGCTGACGCAGACGCAGCTACCTGAGGGGACTCAGTGGTCAGTGTGTACAGGTCAGACCCCGGCTCTCGAGTGAAAGTAGCCAGGTGGCGGCCCGTCCGAGCACACGTGCAGTGAGTCACACGCTCGTAGGCAGGGGTGAACTGGTGAACACCCGAGTCCTGGAGCGCACTACCTGCCACCAAGTTCGTGGAGAACGAGGGGAGGTAGAGACCTGAGAGCGTGCCGGACGGAACCGCTGGACACGGAAGGGTGGTGGAGGAGGTCGCAAGGACCGGACCCCCAGAGGGGTCAGCAAGAGAGACAGCAACCGGCCGAGCTAGAGGCTCAAGGACAGTGCGGTCACGAAAGAAAGAGCGAGAAGCACCTGAGTCCAGTGTGAAGGTGTGCAGTGCTGCAGTCGACTCAGTACCAGGGGGCACAGACGCACAAGCACCTAGAGTAGCAGCTGCAGTAGTACCAGTGGAAGCAGACACACTAGCACCTAGAGCAGCAGCGGGGTTGGCCTGAATGCCCGGGTCGGGCGGAACACGCAAGTACTGAGCACCCTCTCCACTAATAGACATCGCATACATGGCAGTGAGAATAGCATCAAAGTCAAGTGCCCAAATATCAACACCCTTCCTGAGCAGATCAGCCCAGCGCGGCAGCTCACCCCCACCAGGAAACTGAGTGCGCCACGCATCGTTGAGGCGGGCGAAGCAGCGCTCCGTCTGGTGCGGCCCCCCACACGTCTGGCCAGTGCGGTCACCTGTACGAATAACGTACTGGCAGGTGACGCTGCGCCGCGCATACCACTCACGGGCGGCCTGAAGGGTCGGGGCAGGCTGCTGACTCTGACCGCCCCCCGGGCCTCCACGACCACCACCCCCTCCGCCTCCGCCCCGGCCACCTCCACCCCTGCCGCTGCCACGACCACCTCCGCCTCCGATGCCACCTCCGCCCCTGTCACCACTCCCAACACCGCTGTCACCTCCACCACCGCCGCCACTAGCCTCTCCAGTCGCACCTCCACCGCCACCACCTCCACCCCCGCCTCCTCCGCCACCACCCCCACTCCTGCCACTCCTGCCCCTGCGTCGTCCGCCTGAAGCAGACGCAGCCCCGACCTTCTCAGCACCAAGGAGGTCGACAGCAGCAGCAGAGGTGACAGAGGGGAGGAGGGGGGAAGGGGAGCACCCCTCGAAGAAGGGGCCGCGGGGGTCGCCACGAGAGGTGCCTACAGCGACGATACTAGCCTCGGCTGCAAGCAGTTCCTTCTCGAGGAGGGCTATGGTGAGCTCAGTGGGGGAGCGAGAGAGGAACTGGTCCCTGACAGGGCGCAGAGAGTCAGGGAGGCGGGTGACAACGTGGTAGAGAGTGATCCAGAGCGGGGGGGGGTTGTTGGCGAGGAACTCATCAGGCATGGCAGCGCGAAAGCGAGCCTCACTAGTCTTAAGGTGGGTGATGAGGTCTGCGACAGTGTGAAAAGAGGCTAGGTCGGGGAACAGGTAGGGGAGAGTGAGGCGGCCTAGTGTGGCAGAAGCGGGTGAGGAGTAGCGGGCCACTACAGCTGTGTAGAGGTCCTTAGCAGTCTTGCATTGGCCGAAGTGCTCGCGCTCATCTAGCGGCAGGGAGTTGCGAATAGCAAAGCGAGCGTGCGCGTCACGGGTCTGCCACTGTGAGCGCTCAGCTGGGGGGGCAGTAGCGAGTGGGGCGGTCGCATGGCCGAGAGCGTGGTCGTACAGTGTAATATCTTCCTTGGCAGTGAGCTGTAGGAAAAGGTGCAGGTCATCTAGCCAGGTTTCGAATTTGACCGGACGGCCCTCGGCGTCGAAAGCTAGAACAGGAGGACTAGCCATAGCGACAGCGGCAGTAGTAGAAGCAGTAAAGTCACTGAACAGGCGTGCGCAGGGTCAGCAGGGCCGGTGGGGCCTACGGACTGTAGTGGCGCACAAGCAGCAGTAGCAGGAAGTGTAGTAGTAGGATCTGCAGTGGTGCACAGGCGCAGCAGGCGGCAGCGAGAGCCGGCGCAGCAGGGGCGGGCTCAGCAGCGGTGATACGCGGGCGGCAGCGGGCGCAGCAGCGGCGGTGCGCGGGCGGCGGCGGGCTCAGCAGCGGCGGTGCGCGGGCGGCGGCGGGCTCAGCAGCGGCGGTGCGCGGGCGGCTGCGGGCTCAGCAGCGGCGGGCCGGGAGCAGTGCGGGCAGCGTGCGGGCCGGCGGCGGTCAGCGCACGAGCCGCGCAGGCTCAGCGCGGGCTGCGCGGGCTGCTCGCGGGCTGCGTAAGCGGGTCGCGGGCGGCTCGCGGGGGTTCGCGGGCAGGTCGCGGGCTGCTCGCGGGCAGTTCGCGGGCTGTGCGCGGGCTGCGCGGGCTGGTCGCGGGCTGCGCAGGCGGGTCGCGGGCTGTGCGCGGGCGGTTCGCGGGCTGTGAGCGCGGCGCGCTGTGCGGTTCGCGGGCGGCGTGACGGGGCCGATCGGGGCGCTAAGGGGCGACGCGACGGGGGCCGTGAGAGGCCGCTAGGAAAAAAAAAAAATTTCGACGGGGCCGCAGGGCCGCTAGATCGTGCTAGATCGACGGGGCCAGCGGGGCCGGAAACAAGCGAAGGTAAGCAGGTAGGTAAGTCGGTGGGCCCTAAGAACAGTCCTAGCGAAGGACCTGCTC